TAAAAAATCGCAACGCACGGCGACAATTACTCTGTGTGCGTCTGCGTGTGAGTGGCAGTTTGAGAAATGTAAATGAGTGTACACTAAACAAATGGATATCCTGGGAGGTAGGGAGGAAGTCAGAGAAAATAGCAAAACACCGATGATTCAACCTGCCCTTGATTGAAATATTACCCCTCAAGGGTAACATCCATATGTGTGTGTGCGTGTGTGTGTGTGTGTGTGTGTGTGTCCTTGTTTGACTATTTATTGGTAACTCACAATGAGAAAATTGAAAAATAGTTCTGAAGACTTGTTAAATGTTGGCCCATGGGTATAAGTCAACAAAAAACGTCTAAAAATGAAAAGAATATCATGCAGGATCACGACCAAAAATAAGTTGCCCAAAAGGGAAACTTAAATATGTCCGTTCAACTGTTCTAAAACAATATAAAAGAACAGTGGAAGAGTGTATGATGTGATTGGAGATGTGAGAGTGTAGATTAGGTCCATAGACCAGTTTGAAAACGCATCCAAAACAAGATTTTACCAGCAGAAGTCCAGGTTATCCTTTTACAAAGAGCAATGAGGAAAAACAGGCCAAGCCAAAACACAGAGCCAAACAACTGGAAACCAAACTCAGAGTTGAAGTCGGACCAGTGATTCCACAATGTCGAGCTTAAATCTATTATAAATCTTTATAATTGTGACACTTTCTGTTTGCACACAGACAATTAGCAGGAAAAAAGTGACCTTTGTTTTCATCTATTTACTCAAATAACTCTTTGGGAGATTGACATTTTTACAGTGAAAATACCCCAAACTGTGGAACATGCTTCAGAGAAACATTGAGTGGCCAGCTCTGATTTCTGGAGAGACTTTAAGTGGAAATTGACAATGAGATACCCTGAAACTCATACCCATCATTCAAATGGAAACAAGCAAGTTTAGAAAATATTTGTCAAACTGAGTCATATTTTTTGTTCAAACCAAAATTGAAAAAATACCCTGAAGGTTCACACATCCATTCCACTTGATATTCTCCCATAAAGGGTTCAGGTAAAGACTGTTAGATTCATGATAAACCTCTTATTAAACTCTTATTAACTTTGATAAAAATGGATGAAAGTTTGCATTGGATGGTCAGAAAAATCCAGCTTTTTGGTAGAACTCTTGTTGATCATTGCTTGTTTGTCCATCCATCCATTCATAATTCTGTCATTTTTTAGCTATACATCTTAGCCCTGAGTTCAATTAAAAAAAGCAAAGGAAGACCCAAAAATCAAATGTTTATCTATGCTCCCTTTTGTCTGCAGGAGGCTCAGATCCCAGCAGATCTTCTCTGAGCAACTTTAAATTAGACTGAGGTTATGCTGCCGTAACTCTTCCATCTGAACGATATCAGCCAATGGGAGGAGAGCATCATGCCCAGATGACATCACAAACTGGAGTGACTCTGATGTAAACAGAAGGAGAGGAAACCGCCCAGAGGATGGGCCCGTTTCGTTTCAGGAACCTGTGATTATACCAAAATCAACACTAAATGTGTAGATTTTTGTATGTTCCTCCTCTTTAGGAAAAAAATAGCTGCTGTGTATTTAATGGAGAACAAACGTTTGGTTTTGTGTCTGGACGTGTCAAAAACCACCTGTTTTAAAAATTGTTTGCCACCTTACCACCCCAAACTCTAACATTCCCCTAATTTTGCACAGTTGCATTCATTCCATTTTTATTTAATTCATTTATTATGTTTGTATTTAGGATGTATTTATGACTTTGTATGTTTTCTTATGTTTCAATGTTGTTTTAATGATGATCGTCTTTATAAAGTGTCCTTGAGTGGCATGAAAGGTGCTTTTTAAAAATAAAATTTATAATTGTTATTATTGTAAATTCAAGGGAAATCCATGCCTGAAATAAAAAGCTCGTTCCACACCTGGATTGAAAACAGCAGCAAATCTGTAGAAATATGTCCAGTGAAAACACATTTGAACTGAATGTACAGTGGGGGAAATAAGTATTTGACCCCTTGCTGATTTTGCAGGTTTGCCCACTTACAAAGAATGCAACGATCTATAACTTTAATCATATGTACATTCTAACAGTGAAAGACAGAATCCCAAAGAAAATTCCAGAAAATCACATCATATGAACTTATAAAAAATTGATAACCATCTGATGAGGAAAAAAATAAGCATTCTTTGTAAGTGGGCAAACCTGCAAAATCAGCAAG